GGCGCAGTGGTTGAGCGCTGGGTTGCGAAGCTGCCCGCGGCCTCTGCGGCGCAGGTTCGATCCCCGGCTGCTCCCCGGCCACCGGAGGAGGGTCCCACATGGCGTGCAGACCTCTCCTGCCGCCCGCTGCTCCCCTCAGCAGTGTACTTCGGTCCTTCTGCCTGCTTTGCTCCCCGCTCTGGCTCTGGTGAATTCTCTCACCCTCCCGCGCTTCTGACTGTACCCAGTGCATGTATAAACAAACAAAATAAATAAATAAAACATGCCTCTATTTAAAAAAAAAAAAAGTGGGTGGAGGTACAATATCAACCATATACACAAAAAGCACACAGAAACAGTAATCAACATTTTTAAGTGATTCTTCTGGTGTTTTTCCAGGTGCTTTAGATATGTTATTTCATCTAATACTTTTAATAAACTCTCTGAGATAGGTTTTATGATGAACTCCAGTTTACAGATAACAAAACAGACACAGTGGTCACAAGGTCCAACCACTAATAACTGTCAGAATTAGGGTTTGTACTCAAGCAACCTGGATTTAAAATTTGTGCTTTTAACTAGTATGCTATATTGTCACTAATCAAATAGGTAAGAGGCTAGATTATAAGTTCAAATATCCTGTCTGTCACTTACTAGGCAAAGGCAAATTACTTAATTTCTCTGGTTTTCAGTTTCCACACCTGTAGTAAAAGATAGCTACAAATCATAGAGTGACAGAAAGGATTCAATGAGTTAATACACTCATTGAATTGCAAAGAACAGTATTTGGCACACAATAAACACTTTGTAAATTATAATTATTACTATTTCATCATATTATAGATGCTTGTGTTTATGTTTATGTATATTTACTTATATACATCAATATACATACATACATACACACATATATATATACACCTTTATTAGGGAAAAAACTTGAAAGATCTAATGAAGTGATAAATCTATAAATTTGATTATATCTACAAGTAAAAACACAAGTCTGATATTTATAAATATTCACCTTAGAGGACAGAAGTATTAATCCAGAAATTTTGTAAAATCTTCCTGAATACCCATATAGGCACCTAATACAATAGGGCTATGACAGAACACATTAATATTGTAACATAATGATAACTAACATTTATTAGGTACTAACTAAGTGTCAGACACTGTTCTCAGTTCTTTTTTTTTTTATGGAGGCATGTTTTATTTATTTGTTTGTTTGTTTTGTTTATACATCACTGGGTACAGTCAGGAGCGCGGGAGGGTGAGAGAATTCACCAGAGCCAGAGCAGGGAGCAGAGCAGGCAGAAGGACTGAAGTACACTGCTGAGGGGAGCAGCGGGCGGCAGGAGAGGTCTGCGCGCCATGTGGGACCCTCCTCCGGTGGCCGGGGAGCAGCTGGGGATCGAACTGGCGCCGCAGAGGCCGCGGGTAGCTTCACAAGCCAGCGCTCAACCGCTGCGCCACCGGGGAGGCCCCTGTTCTCAGTTCTTTACAACAAATTAGAAGAGGAAAAGGAAAAGAGAGGTATAGTAACTTGTCCACAGCCAATAAAAGGTGTAAATATGAATCTGGAGCCAGAGGAAAGTGTGTGAGACGTCCAGATGCTCAGGGTCTTTGGGGCTACAACCATGTCACTAAGCTTCTGAAACTCTGGTTCAATAAATCAGGTTAACAGTGAGGAAATATGTCATTATCAGCTTCTAATTCACAGCACACTGCCTGCTCAACCCCCAAAATATCACTTCAATATTTTTTTATAATTAAAGACAAAATTACTTAAAAAAAACCTCAGCAGTTAGGATAATTCTTGACTAGCTATAGATTTTTATAGTGTGAGTATAATCACAGATGCTTGTTCTTAGTTTCAGATTCTACCAGGGTAGTTATGTAACACTTGGCATCGTTATTGGGTCCAATAAAGAACAATAAAAAAAGAAAAAAAAAACAGTAGAAACCAGGACAAGAGAAATAAAGGGAAAAAAGTAAGGGGTAAAAGAACAAAAAGTAGCAACAATACACACAGATGATTTTATATCCATTCTAGTTCAAGTGCCCAGCAGACTGCCCTTCTGAGAAATTGACTTGTGAGCCTCACTCACTTGATCACAACTGAGGAATCAACCAGGGTGGAATAACTTAGGATTTGGGTCAATTTATTGATTTTCTGGGCAGAATTTCTGCTTTTGTCTTCAGACATATTATTCCAACTTGGGGAAGAGCTGTGTTGGTCTTTGACTATATATCTATCCTAAAAATAATCACTAGGAGCAAACTCTATAGCCAACTCTGAAGAGGAAATTACTAACAGTCCTTTCAAGCCAGCATACGACAAAAATCCTTTATTTTCAGTTGTGGAACATTTTATTTGTATTTTTGGCAAGATATTTATTTTCCCAATTGTAATTTGTTTAAGCTAATATTAAAATTTGTTCTCATTCTTTGAGAACTGGCAACAGTAAGTGGCACCAGAAACAAGGATAAGTTAGCCAGCAATAAGAAACCGGATTAAAACATTATGGAAACTACATAAAATTAACTATTGGCTACTCATCAAAGCATATATTTTATATGTCAAAAAAACAGAAAAGGAAATTTACCTTTTTAAAATACCTATTAGGAAGCGTATGTGGAATAAATGAACTTGTAAGAAAGAAAAGTAAACCAAAAATATGCTCCAGTACAAAATAAATATGGAATTTAATTGACTATTAAAACAAGGTCATTTAAAATGATTTTTAAAATTTCTAAATAATGGTGGCTTTATTACTGATTGTTGCATCTCTATGCTACTTAAAAAATAAATCTAACGATGATCAGTAAAACACATTGATCTGAAAATAATTTTTTCCCCTCAAACAAATAATTATTCTCCATTATTGTAAATAGCATGTGTTACTAGTATTTTGGTTATTATTTTGGCCAAGAGGAAAAGAGAGGGTTTGATTTTGAGAGCCAGGAGTTAAGATAGAATGGGGGATACCATGATGCTGGAGTTAACCTCTTCTTTGAGGAAGGAATGAATCTATGAGAAACTCCCTTTTTTTAAATTTCTGAGATATTAGAAAACATTTCTCTCTTCATTAGCCATTTATTTTCTCAAATCAATGTATAATTTTATTTTTCTTAAGTAAGCTGAATAAAGTTGCATTTGAATTTACAACATGCTAAATATTTAAAAGAAAGAAGGGTTTATGAAATATTGTACATGAAGACCAAGTGATCCATAGAAGAATTCTGTAAAAGCAATTAAATGTCCCTTTAGGTTAATGTGTTATACCACAAAAATTTAAATTTAAAGTGATACATAGTCTAAAAAACACTAAACAAAAAGAATCTGGTATTTTGGAATAGTGCAGACAAAACTTAAATGTATAGTTAATTTACACAGTATATCCTCACAAGATTAAGGTTGATAATGTATGGTAAAAGCATAAGACTCCAACTTTAAACTTGTTAATTCTTCCCCAAATCAGAACAGTGATGCTCTAAGCACCTAGGATTCTGATTACTGCAATATTGGTTTGTAATAGCATTTGACCTGCACTTAGTTTTGAAATACTGTATATGTTGGCAGTTACATTTAAATTCTTTCTTTTTTTCCTTGGTTACTTCTATTTTGTTGAAATCAATGACTATGCTTAAAAACTCTCTCATGTGATCCCATTAGGGTCTAAATGAGATGTTTGGTTTTATGAGTTTACTCAGCTTGAAAATAAACAAATTAAACTTGCTTCCTTGTGGGATTTAAGATGTACTTCAGAGTTGGCAACTACACAATTATTGTAACATGTTATTCTAACTAGAATCATAGCAACAATGATTTTTAATTTTATGAAGATAATTTTTTCTAACAAAGCTAAAGAATTAGAAATTATATTTTTATTAAAAATAAATTTTTATAAATGATTACTTCATCAGATATGTAGTCAGTGCAAATTCTTATTAATATGAATTCACATATGAGAGATAAGTAAACAGAGAATTTACTCCCAATGTAGTTAAATAATAGCTTCATAATAACTGAGCAAGTATGTGGTAAAAAAGCTAGAGGATTTGCTCAGTTACCTTTGATAAAGTTTGGTCCACAACTGTCCACAGTCTAGTAAAACCTCTACTGTTCTTATTCTATTCTAGCACTGCCCTAGGGAGTCTAGGTTACGTCTTACCCTCTCTAGGATACAATTCTACATCCCAAATTCAGACATTCTAAGAATGAACTAGCTTTCAGGGCCCTCTGAAAACAAGTCTTTGAAGGTTTTTTACTTTGGGGGCCAACACAGGACCATATTTGCAAAGTAACAAGCTTTCTTAGAGCTTTATTACATAATATTGGGGTTTGTCTCTAGTTTTCAAGGATGAAAATCTGTTAGTTTTCTTCACCTCAATACCTCTCTAGCCCCCGTTTATAGAGATTTTTATAGAACTCATGAGAACAGTATTGCACAGTCACCTATTAGTTTGCTCTGAATTTTTTACTTCTAAACTATAGGTTGAAAGGAAGTAAAAACTTGATTAAATGGGCTAGCTCATCTGATATAATCCCCAAATCTTATTCAAGTGATTTCTTATTTATTTTCTTAGATTTCACCTGTAACCATGCATATACATACTAAACTGATTATGTGAGATAACTTCAAAGATGTTTTCTGTTTCACCATCCATCAGAGCTCAAAGCCATTTTCTAATTCTTATCAGTTATACATAATAGAATTCTAATTCATTCACTCACTATTCACTGAAACAAAATGATTTCCAAGAAAATATATCAAAATGTATTAAGAAAATACCCCTCACATTATGTTCCAAATCATTTTCAAGATCTCTTCCTTGCTTTTTTGGACCATATTACATTACTCATTCAACAAAATATATTAAATCTCTCTCAAGACAGAATGATAGAAACTGCTTCATACTACCCTTTTAAAATCATTGGTATAATTGGGAGTACCCCTTGCCCTAAAACTGCCCTCTAAAAAATTATTTGACAAAAGGTGCTCTCTCTTCTATACCTTATTGTCAGTCCTAATCGTGACTTTCAGTTGTGGTAGTACACGTTCCACTTCTAGACTCCATTCTGCAGCATCTGTTGTGGATTCCAAAATATCTTCTTGCTTGGCAGACTCGTTCATATCCTAAGAAAGGAAAGATATCACAAGATTGAGAGTTTATAAAAAGAAATGATAAAATTTTGAGGCATTTTAGCAGCACTGCACAATTTATATCAAGCACGGTAGTGTTAAAATTATAGTGGCAATAGAAATTCTTTTCTGTCCTCATATCCATATTGAAAGAAAATAATGCACTAACCTGACAGAACAGCAAAATAAGTATTTTTAAAGGGGAAGCAAATATATGATTCAGTTATTTTTACAAAAAAACCCCACTTTTGATGTCAGATTGATATTTCAATTGAAATACTCTCAAATGGACAAGCCATTAAAGTATGTTGCTAACAGTACAGGAGATAGAAACACATGTCTGGTAAGAACACTGTCTTTATTTAAATTTATCATGCTAAAATATAAAAACAAAATCTGAAAGAACAAATAAAATCCCAGAAGCAAATGTATCATTATTTGGAAATTTTATAATAATAACAATAGAGATATTTTGATTACGTCAAACAATAACAATTTTAAAATGTGATTTAATATCTATTTGAACTCAAACAGGATGGGGGTCAAATGTCTGCATTTGGTTTCTGCTTTTGAGAAATAAAATCAATTTATTTGTTACTGAATCACAAAAGGAAAACCTTCCCCCCTACCACTTTCCCAGTCCTTCACGATTTAGCAGTAAACATATATGGGTCTAAAAACATAAAGAATATGCAATTAATGATTTAGAGAGAAAACTTCTAAAACATTAATTTTGATAGCAACTTTGCTTTTAAGGTCCCTTGATAAATTACAAGAACATGTAAGTAAAAAAACATAAAATAAAGAAAAAAGAACTGAGGGACATAAACAGTCAAATGCATGCACTTTATACTAAAAGACTTTTTTTTTTTCTAAGTTAGGTATTTTTTTTTTTAAAGATTTATTTATTTATTTATACAAGCACTGGGTACAGTCAGAAGCGCGGGAGGGTGAGAGAATTCACCAGAGTCAGAGCGGGGAGCAGAGCAGGCAGAATGACTGAAGCACACTGCTGAGGGGAGCAGTGGGCGGCAGGAGAGGTCTGTGCGCCTTGTGGGACCCTCCTCCAGTGGCCGGGGAGCAGCCGGGGATCGAACTGGCGCTGCAGAGGCTGCTGGCAGCTTCGCAACCCAGTGCTCAACCGCTGCACCACCAGGGAGGCCCTAAAAGACTTTAATTTGAACAATCTATACAAAGATCTTGAGCAGTCAAGGAAATCTGAATATGGAAGAATATTAAATGACATTAAGGAATTATTGTTTATTTTATAGATAAGGTAATGAGATGGTTATATTAAAGAAAAGGTTCTTATAAATTAGAGATAAATGATGAAATATTAATAGGCAAATTGATATGATGTTGAAATTTACTCTAATATTCTATGGGGCAAAGAGAAAAAGGAAAGAGTTATATAGGAAACATGACAGACAAAATGTCAACTGTCGAAATTATGTCATGTCACATACGGGTTCATTATCTTTTAATTTTGTATGTTTAAAATTTTTCACATACAGATTTTAAAAATAAAAAGACTATAAACAACCTCACAGTTAAATTACATTTGCGTGAATTTGTCACTAAGAGACCCTTCTTAAATGAAGGTTCATTAAGCTAATCTTTCCAATCCATTTTAACACTAAGTTGAACAATAACCTTATGCTGGGGGTTATATATTTGCTGGGAACATGAGATTTTGGGGGTTCTAAACTTATTTCCAGCCAAGTCTCTGGAGCACTGCTGACATAAGAAAGCCTTTCTTCCCTGACTCCTAGCTCATATTAGCAAGTCCTGGACAGGCCCAGAGCCTGAACATTAAATGTATATTGCTTTTTTTTAGAATTTAGGGGGTTATATAATTCAAATCTCACTGTTAGAGAATGGATAACCAGTCGATGCTTTTACATTTTACAGTATGTTGTCTAATTTACTCAGATACCAATCTATTTAAAAAACCAGAAGTTTAAAAAAATAGCATTAGTTCTGCAAATGTGGAAATTCCAAGTGAAAAAGTTCAAGATTCTAGTTTAAACACTAAGGAGCTCATTTAAATATAGAAACATTGTATTATTTTGAGTACTTACTAAAACATTATGTATATATAAAATGAATCCAAGGAAGCACAAGAGCACATAACTAGAGAGGGGTAGGTGGAAAGTGGACATGTGTTAAGTTATATAAGAATATATGTGACATGGCGCAGCAGACTGCTCCTGTGTTGCCTACTGCTCCCCTCAGCAGTGTATTTTAGCGGATCCGCCTATCTATTCCCCACTCTGTCTCTAGTGAATCCTCTTACTCCCTGTACTTCTGGCTTACCCTACAGTTCTCCCATACATAAACAAAATAAATAAATATTAAAAAAAAAAAAAAGAATATATGTGACAGTAGGCGTGGAGACACTGGGTTTCCCTGCCGAAATCTAAAGCCATGAAGAAAGTTCTGTCATGTAAATTCACGCTTGCACTCATAACATGCATATGCTTGGAAGAGCCAGGTACTTGCACACTCACTGGCACAGCCTATATTCATTCCCAATTCTGATACATTCATCTTCTCTACCAAACAAGGTAGACTTGTTGAGGCGGAAAGATGTATGTGAACCCTAACACTGGGGGGCAGGGGACGTATAAACATAGGCTTGCTCCTGTTAGGGTTATTGGCCTCTACATCTCATCAAAGGGAGACAGTAGCAGTTTCTCCGAAGCAGTTTTGCATGATTCTTCATGGATATTTTGGTCATTGATTTAAAAATAAATGATTTATGAACTGCTGTCTGGGAGAACTGAAGTCTGATGCTGATTAAATCCCTGATCCAGTACTCCCCAACCCCATTCCCTTCTCAGCTCTTCTTATTTCCTACCTTACAAGAGGGTTGAGTTCGGGCCCACCAAACAGGACCACAGGAGGTACCCATCTACATTCCCACCTGCTCCAGGCCCCAACACAGGATTCTTCAGTTTGAGCACAAACACTCAATAATTGCTGCTCAATGAAGTGCACCATCTAATTTTCACAAAGGCAATGGGTTAGCAGTGATTTGGTTTGAATCAGATTTAGAATCTAAGAGTTAGTAGGGTGCATGAAGATCAAGCACTGCATTAAGATATTCCAGGGCATATCTTATTTGTATATTGGGCTACTTAGTAGGCTCTATTTACCCTACTGAGTTTATTATTTGGTTCCTGTAAGCAATGATTTGCTACTCCTACTCCCAATGTCCTAAAATTATTTTATGCAATGGCTCAAAAGTGTTCACTCACTCTGAGGCCACAGTTAATATACTGGGGGAAATGGCCTACTTACCAAATGAAGAAAGGGTGAAAAGAGAACATTAAGCTTGATACAGCAGCATTAGCCTACCCAACAATACAGTCTCTTTCTACTTGCTTGTTTGCACATCTATTTCGTAACTTCAGTCCTTATACAAAGTTTCCCAATGCCTAACAGCTGGATACATAAAATCAGCAAGCCCTACATATGAAGTATAAATGATTTTAAAACTATACCATGCCTAGGTTATAATGCTTTGAAAAAATGTTTCCTTTTCAATTTTTTTTTCCCATTGAACAAGTGGTATTTTATGTAGAGCTATTAGCAAAAGAGAAATAAACTGCTGTTTCTATTTAATCAAAATTTTGTATAATCATAGCAAAAGTCCCTCCTTGAAACATTAACTAAGAAAAAGCATAGTTCTTGGGAAATAGCTTTTTCCTGTTAATACTGCTGAAGAAACAATTAAAAGCTCAGTAAGACATAGGCTATCCAGAAGTCTCATTTATAATTAATTAATTTACCAATAAGCCATTTCTTAAGCTCTTGCAACAAGCACCATTAGAATTCAGGCACTGTGCTCAGTGTGGAAAGATAAAAAAATTTAATACCTGCCTTCAAAGGGTTTACAATTAGGAAGGGTCTAAGGCTAGTTAACGGGAGTTATCATCAATCCTAAGACATAGAAACTGGTAAGAATTGACCCTCCTAAGAATGTCAAAGGAAGTTAAACACTGTAAACCATCTGATTAGGCAACCCTGAGTTCAAACAGTGGGACATACTACCAAAGTCAGTTCAAGGATGTAATGTTAACAGCTTGCTCAGAATTCTGTTCTTGTAACATTTCTTTTTCTCAGGTAATATTAATGGAGTCATTAAACAGTTACAGAAATTTGGTGTTCTCTCTCTCTCCCTCTCTGTGTGTATGCGTGTGTGTTGTGTGTGTGTGTATATACATACACATATAATAATAAATATACACAATTGGATGTAGTTGGTCTATGGTTACAGGGGTAAAACAGGGGAAGACCAGCATATCGGTAAGGGAGGTCAGCTGAGGGTAAATAAAGCCCTTTGCAGCCTCAAAGCTGTTGGATAGATGGCCTGTAGAGTAATACAAAGGTGTTCTGGTCATACTAGGTTAAGTGTGAATACTAAATCTGATACACCTTCAAAATATCTTCACTTCTTAGTTAATTCTGGACACTCCAGGTACACCATAAATACCAGCAGAGGGAGTAATGGACCTGACACTAATAGAAAAACTCATTAACACAAAAAATTGTTACAGATGAAAGACAGTGGGAGCAACGGTCATGGTACACCTGATGAAGTGACATCTTAAGCTAAGAACTTAAAAAAAAATCTCTTTGGGTTAAATCTATTTCTAATATGTACTACACACACATTATTGGAAAATACCATAGGGTAAGGAGTCTAAAAGGTTACTAGATAGAGCAATGTTGACTGACTTACTGATACTAGCAGGGATTACCATGGAACTTATTTCAGCTCTGCCTATAACCACAAAAGTCTGGAACTATAGGATCTTTTTGATCCCTAAGGTCCAAGTCAGATTGGACAGTAGCTCTGGTTAACACATTTCATCACTGGGAAATAAAGAAGACAGAAAGCTAGGGGTAGGGTAAGGCAGTGTTTCTAAAACCTGACTACAGATACAGTGCATTACTTCCCTTGATCACTGATTAAGAAACACCTTACC